AGATCCGAACTAGAAAAGGAACCGAGATTAGAATATTATTGCAGGGGTTGGATGGGAGAGGGGATATATCATTTGGAATTTGTTGATTGCAAATAACAGAAAGCAATATTGGTTGATTGAATAAAGGGGAATTTATGGGAGGGTCATTGAGGATTCTCAAAATTACAGGAACCTGGAGATTCAGGCTTGGATACAGCAAGGGAGCAGCAATTAAGACCACTGAACAGTCTGTCTGCTCAGCTGGAGGGAAGCAAGCTAGTTCCTGTCTTTCTGGACCTCTGCTGGATTTAGCTTTAAAAATTTCATCAAGCTTTTAAAATTGCAATTAGACCATATCTAGTGTTTGTATTATCTACTAAGAGTTGTAAAAGTAAAGACCCTTCACTCAAAGAGTTAAGAATCCAATACTACATATCAATACGTAAAACACATTAGACCAAGTTCATGGCAGAGGTGCCAAATCAGGGCTTTGTGGTTTGACAAATGAAGCAAGAATATGGGGTTAGAAGGATGGGGAAAGACTTCAAAAGAAAGACGCTGGAGATGGGCACTGGAGATGGCATGATTTTGCTAGGGAAGTTGGGAGCATTTCAATCTGAGATGTAAGTAACAAATACAGACCCAGATGTAAGAGCCTAATGTGAATCACATACCTGGTTAAGTTCCCTCCTTCTCCTCCTGTGATTGGGTTTACAGGGTTTACTAAATGAAGAGAAAGGTTTTGCAGGGAGAGGCCCCTGTGTTTTGGAGGGAGGAGGGCTGTGTGGGAGAGAAGGAAAGGTTGGAGGGGAGAGCAAGACCCACACATTTCACCTCCAGCGGATGAAAGTGTGCTTCTCTCAGTGTATCTGTTGGAGGGTGCGTGGTAGGTGACAAACCTGGAAGCAAGGAAATGAAGGTGGTCTTTCCTTGATTTCCCCTCTCTAGGAAAGGGCTCATTAGCCCTGTTGATACTGGGTGGGCGTCCAATGCTAGTGGCAGCATCCACAGATACAAATTCTTATGTTAAGTGCCATCTACCCCAGAACAACCATCTGGGTCCTGCACAATCCATGCTTTAATACAAGGCTATTGGGTGAAGGCTGTTGAACATCAGACCCAATGTGGTAAGAATACAGCATCAGTGACAGTAATAAACAGTTCACTCATTCATTCACTCATTCCAGTCTATACTTATTAACACTGTCTGGAGTCTCTGCCCAAAATTGAGGCTAGAGGCTGAAGTAGAAAAAGTAATGATAAGTCACTTCCTTTTTCTACTTCTGTGTTCTCTCCTGTCAAACAAGAAGCTGGAGTTTAAGGCCTTTGCTTTGCTGTGTCTCCTGTGCTTCATGAGCTCACACATAAAGGCGGGAGCTGTTTGACCTGGCGTGGGCCAGAGGAAAGGCGTCAGGGGCTGAAGGGCAAAGGATAAGAGGCGCTGCTTGTCTTCTGCCTCCTTGGAATGAGGTACCCTCGGAAAGGTGCTAGGGATGTACCAGCTCTGTGCAAACTAGAGGTCTGGTATTTGCCAGAAGCTTTGGCATAATGCAAGGAGAAATAGTGCATGAATGATGTGATGGAATTGTTGCTGACCATGAATTTCCTGCCCAATTAGTGAGATGAGGTTGTGCGGGGGTTTCGTTTAATTGGAACTTTCCTGAGCAGATCTAGGTTTATTTACCATTTTACATGATCTCAGGAGATGAGAGGGCAGCATGTTGAATTACAATAACCTTTCATTAAACAAAGTTCCTCCTCATTGACCTTTGATTCCCCTTTCCTGCATTGTGTTTCTCCATAGAACCTCTGTCACAGCTTCTTTGCAATCAAAGAGGGTACTTGGCTTTGAATTATTTTGCGTCTGGTGCATTTGTCCCTCTATATTCAAGTCACAATAAATGTCTATAAGAAGAATTTTCTGAATTGCTAGACTGGAAACTCCTTGGGGTTCAATGTCTAGTCTATGTGCATCTTGGTATTTCACCTTACCATGCATCCCCCAAACCTCCTACTGATGCCTGCTAGTAGGAACTCAACAAATCTCTTTCAAAACATCTTAATTTATAGGTATAAATTGTGGCTTCCATAGAAATACTGGGTTACATGAAATTCAGAGGATATCTGGGAGAGTTAACCATGGTTTCAAAAAGATTTAAAGTCCTTTCTCCCAAGGTAGTTAGTTCCTTTGAAGAATGAGCATTCTAAGTTGGTGGATGAAGAATGAGGGAAAGAGAGAGATTTGTTTTTGTTACATTTAGGGTTCAGTTAAGTATTCAAAGTTCTGAGGAGACTTTTCAGGGCCCCCTTTCACATCATTCACATTTAGAGGCCAGAGCTCATGCGTCCCCATGCCCTTCCACTTTGTAGATTAATTGCTCTATCTCTTACCAGCTTCAACCAAGGCCCATCCTTCTCTGAACATGTTCCATTGCTTAGATCAGGAACCAGGTAGGAAAAATTAACTATATAATACTTGTATTATACAAATAATAGGAAAACGTTATAAAAATTGGGAGACTAGAGAAAAAACTTCATTCCTAATATCTTTACTCCAGTCCAGGGGTTTTCAAAGTCTGGTCCCGAGACCAGAACATTAGTATCACCTGGGAACCTGCTAGAAATGCACATTCTCGGGCCCCACCCAGTCCTAGTGAATCAGAAGCTGGCATGTGGTCCAGCAATTTGTGCTTTAACAAGTCCTTCGGGGGATTCTGATGCACACTAAAGTTTGAGAATGGCTGTTCAGGCAAAACTATTATTAGCATTTTATGGCAGTCTTTTCATGAGTGCATGAGAGAGAGAGAGAGAGAGAGAGAGAGAGAGAGAGTGAGTGTGTGTGTGTGTGTGTGTGTGTGTGTGTGTGTATGCAGGCTTTACCAAACTGTTAGAGTACAAAAGCAGCCATTGTAACACTAACCCAAAATCTAATCTCTCCAGCCTAGAGCCCCACCTAGCCCTGCAGTGAGTCCAAACTCCTTCAGAGTTTTCTAATATCAAGAATCTGGGAATCATCATGGTGGACCTTATAGATGTGAATATATGTGCCCTAGGCAAACCACTCCATGGGACCTCAGTAACTTCACTTTACTGGTTTGTTCCTGGGCTCGGATGGATAAGTAGCCCTACTTATCTATCGGCAGGACTTCCACCTTTTCCTGTCTGATGTCCCTGTGAAACACAGATTGTCCCTTGCCCTGACATTCCTTTGGAATTTCCTATGGATCCCCAGAGCTACTTATTCACTGTCTGTAGCTGGTAAGGAAAACACAGGGTAAGAGTTCAGGGTATGGTTATTGCATGGCGCCACCCTTCCCTCTGACCCTCAGGCCTGGGGGCTTAGTCTGCGCACTGCTTCAGTGAGGCTGCAAAAAGGAGAACACACCTCCCCAAACCTCAGTGAGGCTTTTGTAAGAAAAAAAACAGGCCACTTCATGGACATCTAATGACAAAAAATAAAATACACATGGGCCATGGCAGGAAATGGAAAATCTCCCCTCATCTTCTGAGAAATGGGAAAGCATTTTCTCTCTTGTGCATTAGTTAGGAGAGACTAGTTTGGCTACAGTAACAACCCCAGACTCAGTGAATTAAAATGACTCAGGTTTATTTCTCACAAATGCTAAATGTCTTTCAACATTAACTGGGGACTTTACCCTGCTTCATCCTCACTCTGGATTCTGTTTGACAGACAACAGCGACCTAAAATACTGCTGGAGAGGGGAAAGGGCTTTGTAGCATCTCATTCCAACAGTTAAATTCTCTGCCAAGAGGTGACAGTCACTTAGCTTCCTAACCCACTGGTTAAAACTTGTCACAGTGCTCCACTTAACCATGAGGGGTTTGGCAGGTGCAACTCTACCATGTATGTGGAAGGTACCTGAACATCAGTAACAACTAGCACGCTGGAGATTTGACCCTTTTGTCTGCTTCCCTTTGCAGCCTCAGTCAGGAGTCCATGTGCTCTTGTTGCTCTGTGATCGACCACTATCTGTTTGATTCTGCCGTTATAAGTTTCAACTCACATTATCAAGAAATATGATTGGTAGCTCAGCGGGTGGACAGGATTCCCTTGTATCCGCTGTTCACCCCGTGCCCAAGCAGCCTGGCTGGCAGGGTGGGAGTGGGGCCTGTGGTTCCTCCCAGGCAGCAGGGTTTGTAGAGGTGATGCAAGGCATTCCTAGTACTCCCACTCTGCCATGCTGTCTCCTTCCTCATTCTTGGCAATGTCTCTCATCTTGGCTTCTGTCACTCTGGCTTCTTCTCCTTATAACTTTTGGTCCCCACGTGGGGACCAAAAGTTTTCCTCTATGTGCTTCTCAGTCCTAGAAAGACAAGAGGAAGTGACTAATCACCAGAATACAGAAGCCGTCTAGTGCTGCTCTATTAACAATTCATCTAGTTACAGCGGAGTTTCGCTCTAGCCCAGCCATATATACTTCGTTGCATATGTAGTCTTTGTACAATTTTGCGTCATGCTTTTTTACATTACATAATGCTTATTTTAGGTTGAAAATCCTAAATCCACTGTCATAAGTGAATGCCAAGTTCATGTTTGGGCTTTTTCATAACTGTACACAGAGGATTAACTGCTATTTACCTGACCAGCTTTATAGTTTAATTTTTTTTCATCTTCTTTTTAAGTCATTACATTGTATCACATCGAAAAAAAAAAACCCCAAACCCAGCATTGGTGGCTTTCCCTAACGTTATGTAGGCTTAAGGGATAGTGAAACCAGGACAGAGAACTGTTTCTGTGCCCAAGCGAGCAAGGAGCAATAACTTATTCATTACCCGAGAGAGAATGCCACTCCTCCTTTCCAGGCTGCAAAGAAGCCAGGCTCAAAGGGCAGGCGGGCTGGCTTAGGCAGCGCCTCTGAGGCTACCTGGAAGCCGAGCAAGTCACCTGAGTCGTGCCGGTGCCTGGGCTGCCAACCTGCAGCCACCGGGCCGCAGTCCGCGGGGGCAGGAGGACACTCCCGGGGCGGGAGGACCCCCTTGGTCCTCTTAAGCAGGCAGCCGACCCACGGGTGCGGCGGCGCCAGGTGCCGGTGCCCAGGTAGCGCGTTCCCCGGCACCTGCCGCACCAACCCCGCGCCCGAGGCGGGGCTTCCCGCGTCCCCTTTAAGAGTGCGTATCGCTTGCCCCTGACGTCAGGGTGTCTCTCCGCACGAGCCCGCGTTCCGCGCCTCTCCGCGCCCCCGCGCCCACTGCCCCGGCGGCTGCACGACGAGCTGCGGCTCGGCCAGCGCGCCGCACCGCTCGGTCCTCCCTCCTGGCTCCGCCGCCGCCCGCTCCCCGCACCGCAGCAGTCCCGCGGGTCCTCCTGCGCCATGTCGGTGGCCGGGCTCAAGAAGCAGTTCCACAAAGCCACCCAGGTAAGGCGCGTGACAGGTGCGCCGCGGGGCGGTCCCGGGAGCGGAGGGCGCGCTGGACGCCGGCAGCGGGCAGGGAGCGTGGGGATTACGGCCAGCAGCGAGCCGGGCCCGGCCGCTCCCCGCATTGCTCGCCCAGACCGCCGCGGCGGCGGCGGCCCGGGCATCCCGGGGCTGGGAGCCCGCCTTGCGTCCCGCACCCCCGGCTCAGGGCGGCGCTGCGGGCATCCACGGGTCCCAGGCGTCCAGCCTAGTCGCTCCGAGTGTCGCCCCCGTATCGCCCAGCGCGGGCGCGACAGGGAGGGGGCCCCGGGGCAGCCTCGCCTCGGCGCGCAGGTGCCCGGGCGGCGCGGTGGGAGATTATGTAAAGTCGCCTTTTCCCTGGTGACCTTGCGGTGTCGGTGCGCCCGGCTGTCCCGGGATGTGCTGGCAGGGGAGGTGGCGCGCCCTGGGGTGGCTGCGGAGATGCCCGCGGTCTACGCTCTTCCCCTGTGGTCTCCGAATTCCGCCTTCCAAGGCACCCGCAGGCTCCCTAGGAATGGGAGAATGGGGCTTCCTTCTGGGAAGCTCATGCGTTAACTTTTCCTTGGAGAACTCGGTCGTGAAACTCCTTTGAGGCCAAGGCTCGACCGGCAGTCTGCATGCCTTTAAAAATTTCCTATGGGTTTTGCAGCCTTAACATTACCGACTCATCATGTATTTCAAAGTATTATTTTTAGTGAACCTTTTACATCTTGGATGTGCCCATCTTTATGGGGTTAATAAGCTGTGATTATAATAAAACTTCTTTAATTCAGATTTTAATAATTTAAATCTTGCTGGGCTGGGTTGAAGAATTTTACATAGGGAAAAATAAGTGAATACTTATAATGTGACCTATTTCTTATATAATGAGTATGGTTCCTTTTTTTTTTTTTTACCCTTCTGAAACAGTTCTAGCTTAAAATAAGAGGTCTTAAGCCAAGGACTTTGTTGACTTCTTTAAATATTTCACCTAATTTAGCCTTAAATATTTTTTTCATAGATTTGCCCATAATTAATGCTGAGCTTTCTCATAATTTCTCAGAGGTAGTGAGGTTTTTCCTAGGCTACCACAATAAGTCCTATCATAAACCACCTCCAGAGAAAGTGAGGTTTACGTTTTACAGAATTTTGGTTAAGTTAGGGTTAGAGATGCAGCATGAAGTTCATCCCGTGTGCCCACGTGCCATCTCTATCACCACAGACCTGCCTTTATAGAATCAGTTATATTTGTCAACTTGGGAAATGGAGAAAAACTAAGACTATTTCGGTAAAAATACCCATTAATGTATTTTTGCTTTTCACCTTGGATCTTTCTGAGACTTCTCTGCCAGAAGAAATATTTGTAAGTATAAGTGCATTGTTGGTGTAATTTGGAAGGCCTCTAATAACTTTATACTTCACATTCCTTCAGGTTTACAGAAGCAGCATATGTGCTATCCAGAAATTGTCAGGCAGGATTTCTTTGATGTCACTAACCTTTTTTATTTCTGGTACTTGTCACTTCTATAAAGCATCACCCCACCCCCAGCACCAAATTGACTAACACCACATCCTTTTTCCACTTTGATTCTGAAGACTTCCTTTGCAAACCCTGGTGCCCTAAAGGCAATTGGGAACCTTGGCTTTGGAGTGGGAAAGGCTAAGGATTGACCCATCTCTGCTGTCTATGACCTTGAGCAAGTTATTTAACTTTTGAATCTCTCCTTGCTAGAATGAGCATAATAACCATTTCTTAAAATTGATGTAAAGATAAATGAGTTTTTAGAACACACATTTAAAAATGTTCAATAAATGATATTAACATTAAAAATAATTTTTTAGTATAAAATACTGTCCTTTATATTAGTAATAATGAGACATGAGGAAATTATAGAAGCTGGAATTTCTAGCTTTGCTACCTTAAAAAATTAATCAAACCACTCCATTTTAGCTAAATTGTGAAGTTACATGCAACTTTGAAGTTCAGAATAAAAACTTGAATTGTGGTATGAAAGAACTTCTCAGAGCCTTGGAGGAGGTCTGCTTGTGATGAGATGAGATTAGTATTTATCACACTGAATCCAGATGCAGAATCACTGTGTCATTTTCATTTTTTTACTGAAAAGCCTTTCATTTTAAAGGGGAAGTGACGCGCAATCCCTTATCCATAACTTAATGTAGCACAATCTTAGAAAGCCCAAGGCAAATGTTATTCTCCCTGTGCATGTGTGGGCATTTTCAAGGGCGTGTAAAGCCAGCGCTAATGTTCGCATGTGACAAAGATATTAGGGGAAATAGCCATGTCCTACTTTTTAAGCCATTTTCCCCCATACAGTTCCATGAACTTGATCTTATCTACAGAGGAAACTTTAGACCTAGAATTACTCCTTTTTGAGAATGGATATGCTAGATTAGGTACACTATGTTTATAAGTGGAAGGCTCTGCTTCAGGAACATTTCTGTTGTCTCTGTGAAATTCAGTGTTTTGCTTATGTCTGTGAGGGATGATATTTGTATTAATAAAGCAGTTTATTTTCAGTGTTTACCCACTGATTGGAAATCTCTCAATTAGATGTGTCACCACTGTTCTCTTGGTTTGGAAGTGATTATTTCTGCCTTGTTGCTGACAATTATTTTCAACATCTCTGCTCTTTGGAGGTTAAAAAATGCCTTTGCCAAATAAATTTTATTAAAGGGGAAAATCCTTCAAGCTTGAGAACATGTTAAAATAGCAAAAATTGATCATCTTTAATTTATTACTTAATTGCTCATAAAGATGTAATTTATCATGCAATTAGAATAAATAAGATACAGTTTTTTAAACTATAAAATAGGGCAAATGAGCATGCATTATTCTACTTTAGTGAGTTTCATGTATATTGAGATTTCATTTTAGCAAGAGTAATGCCATTTTTTTTCATTTGTTGGTTTAAACCAGCAGCAGATTAGGTAAAAATAGTTCTCCGGTTCCAGTTAACAAGCTGTTCTTACAAAATCTATACTTTTTAAAAAAACTTTATCAAGCATTTAATATGGACACACCTTGCTGTATAGTGAAAGGTTCTTCAGAGTATAATTTGTTAGGTCCCTGTATTAGTTTGGTAGAATTGCAACAAAGTATCACAAACTGAGTGCCTTAAACAACATGAATTTATTGTCTCACACTTCTGGAGACAAGGTGTTGGTAGGGCTATGCTTCCGCTGAAGGTACTAGGCAAGCATCTGTTCCAGGCCTCTTTCATAGCTTCTCGTGCTTTGTTGGCAATCTTTGGCCTTTCTTGGTTTGTGGACACATCACCCCGATATCTGCCTTCATGTATGTTCACATGGTGTTTTCCCTGTCTGTCTGTGTCCAAATTTCCCCCTTTTGTACGGACACCAGGACAAGGGCAGATTGGGGGCCCAACATACTTGATGAGTATGGCCTCATCTTAAGTAACTATATCTGCGTGACCCCATTTCTAAATAAGGTCACATTCTGAGGTACTGGAGGATAGGACTTTGGCATACGAATTTGGAGGGGGTGCTAATCAGCCTGTAACAATCCTTATTTTCCTAAAGGCATTCACCACAGTGTTCTTCTAAACATTGTGTTCGATTCAATGTAAAGGGACAACTCAGTCTGTAAATAATAACTTTTTATTGCATAAAATGAGAAATGCTTTCTTCTTTTCAATGAGTTTGGTTAGGCTATATACCTATTATAGACTATACCTTCTGATTTTTTTAAAGGATAAAACATATTTGGTTAGCCTGTGTCAATTATGATATAGTCTGGTATGTAATTATTGTCACACTCAGATTCTTCAACTGGAAACATTTAATTACATCGGTATTTTATGCTTTTCTGTTTTAACTAATTTCTTCATGTTTTCCTCACATTTAAAATGCTGTGTTTTATATAGATGTTTTGCTCTGGAGAATGTTACATGAATCTGTTTATGCGTTTGTTGATTCGGTGAGACTTAAAACTGGTTGAGGTATTTAATTAAATATATAATTAGTTATGACTCTGATGAGGTTCTCAGTTCCTTAATTGCCTGCTCTAAGCAATAAAATCTCTGCTGCCTTCACAATCTTGAGTATGACTTACCTCTATCCCTGCAGGTTCTTAGCCTGGGGTCCATAATAGACTGCAGAGGGCCTATTTATTTGCTAAAATTATGCCACATTTTATATGTGCAGTTTTCTGTGGGAGAGTGTCCTTAGCCTATCACCAGATTTTTAAAGGAATTCCTAATCCCTGCCTCTCTTCTCAACAAAGTAAAAATACATTATAAGAAGTTGATCATGTCATCAGGAGAGAATGAGGTGGTCCTTATAATAGTGATCACTCCCTCCATTCTTTTTATTTATTTATTTATTTCGGTACACGGGCCTCTCACTGTTGTGGCCTCTCCCGTTGCGGGGCACAGGCTCTGGACGCGCAGGCTCAGCGGCCACAGTTCACAGGCCCAGCCGCTCCGCGGTATGTGGGATCTTCCCAGACCGGGGCACGAACCTGTGGCCTCTGCGGTATGTGGGATCTTCCCAGACCGGGGCACGAACCTGTGGCCTCTGCATTGGTAGGCGGACTCTCAACCACTGCGCCACCAGGGAAGCCCGACTCCCTCCATTCTTTACTGGGCTTTACAATGTCTGCTCAGAATGCAGCCTTCTCTGAATGAATTTTAGGGGCAATCAAATATAAAAAAAAAAAAAAAAGTTTCCAAAGGTGTCAGAATTGAATGGTATGTTTGTGATAATTTATATAATAACCTCCTGATACACTTGGCAAATGGACATGTGGGGTGTTTAAACTGAAAGTGGTGACTGAGAATCATTTCCCTTGAGACTGAGATTCTTCTTGATTGAAGTTTTTTTCGTGGGCACGGTTATATTTTTGCAAGGGCTCTCCCCTCACAGGGATTCTTTAATGCTTTAAATTGAGTTTATATGAATTTTGGTGCCAGTCTACTTGGAACATTTAAAGTACCTCCCATATTAACTGGAAATACCCT